TTTATTTTTAAAAAACACTCTATTTTTAAGTCATAGATCTCATTTAAATGCATTTTATTGCTAACCCAGTGTATTATGAGCACTTTGCATTGGTGAAACTCTCATTGTCCTACTGTGTACTCTCAGAACTATGCAAATGGACTCAGACTCTGGATGATAAACCCTGCTTGTGATGGTTATTGTAAAACTTCTTCAAGTTCCTGTGTGCTTTTCATGTCACCATGGACCCGGCTGTGTGCCTTTCATTAATCGACACATACTCATCGCATTATTTTGCAGCAACAAAATGGATGGATCCATCCAACACATCCATAATTTTCTTAAATGGTTATCTAATCCTGGGATGTGGGGCAGCTGAGGCCAGTCCTATTTGACTTTGAGCAGGAGACAGGCTATATCCTGGACATGTCACCATTCATCACAACAAAACTGCTGCTCAAGAAGATCTACACAGGCATAGGGGGGCTGTGGAAACCCCACAAAAGAGTAAAACAGGAGCTGTGAGGTGCACAGTGGGGCTTCCAGATATGTCATTGGTGATATAATTGATATTTGATTTTGAATAAAAAAGTTTCTTGTTTCGACCTTCTATCACAGATATGCTTAAATATTGAAAAGTAAACAAATCAGATACACTAGAGCTTAAGAGGTCTCAGTGTGATTGGTAAGCTGAGGTGTGAGTTGCTGCAGAATGGGCGTGTTGTGATTTGTGAGACGGCTGAGTGCACATGAAAGTGTTGCAACTGTCTCTACAGTGCTATTGGCAGACAGTAGTAATGCTGCTCCAGAAACACTAGAAATCCAGCACTTAGCCTCCTCCCTGCCTTCCTGTCACAGCACACTTAATGATGTGTCAAAGATGTTTGAAATTGTCTCCAAACTTTCTCTGAATTGTTTCTGTGAGACTTTCTGTAATTGTTCAACTTTTACAGTAAACAGTGGAAGAGGGTATTTCAGTCAAACTGATGGAAACAATCAGAGCTTTGTGAGGTTTCTTTTCCTCCAAAAGAGAAAGTTTTCAGCTGTCGAGCAGTTTTGACAGAGTACCGTGTGCATCTGCATGGATAGAGATGCTGATGGGGATTCATGTTTCGCTTTATCATTCAAGAAATGAGGAAATTCAAAGGAAGCTACACTGTGACCACTCCTCTCTCTCCCAGTCTGATTTTAATGTGTGCTGGGGCATACGGTGGTTGCATGAGCTCGCTGTTCTATTGGAGCTCACGTTTGATGTTGATGTGCGGTGAAGGTGGAAAAATGGAGTTGTGCTGTACTTGTCATGAATGCATTTCTGTAGTCTTGTGGAATCCGTGGACGCCACAAGAAACGCAGTAACAAACAAGCTACTGTGTTTCGTGGAAGACTCTAAAATAGCAGGTTCACCTGTGGAGAGAATTACTTATAATTGCACAGGCTGGCCTGGATAAATCAGTCTATCTCAAGTACTGTCATAATGTAGGTTAATTCTACTGGCATTACATTTATCATATATCACTGTAGCTTCCTGTTTGATGCGGCCGAGGACCCCACTGTTTCCTGCCTGCTTGTTAAGCAAAGACATATTAACCCTGTTTCAGCTGCAGCCCATTGTTTTAGCTGCGCTGAATGCTGTGCAGCTGATTGATTGATTTAACTGTCATTTCTATAAGAACTATTTGTCCCAGTCTTGCTGCTATGGCTCTCATGGGCTACAAGTGCCACAGTGTTGTGTTGCTTTATCTTTTGGTTTTGTTTTTTTATTGTAGAACATACAACGGGAAAAGTAACGAAAGGAAACACAAAGCAAAAATCAACACAATGACAATCTTTGCAGTAGAGCATGTGTACTGGTGCATCATGCAGACAAGCTATCCATGCCAGTAGACCGTGTGTGCACAAATATATTTAGTTGCCAGTTTATTAATATACAAATAGCTTGAGTTTACCCACTTAAATACAGCGGTCCTGCAGTGACATGCGAGTTTCTGTTGAAACTGTTTCAGAGAGGTGTGGTTCTGTCTACATCCTGGAGGAGGAAGTTTGCAATGCTGTTTCCCTCATTCACTATATTTGGCAATATGCTTGAACCATATTAGAAACATACAACGTTGAATCCTCCAGGTGAGTTATTTTACTTGTAATGATGATTGTTACATGTTGCAATAGTACAAGAGCTCAGAGACATCCAGTACAAAGGGCTGCTCAGGTGGCTGAAGGACAAGAATTGTAAAAATGAAAGCTGACATTTCAGTGTGACAACATGATGTTGAACGAATCATTTTTAAATAGATATTTCTTTTGCTGAGGGAATCCGTAGACACTTATCTTAGACATCTCTCAGATGTCTAAGCGAGGGCTGCAGGTCCCACCTGTGAGTCAGGTTCAGTTTCTAAATACAGAGAGTTTGATATTTATTAATCTTAAGTGATTGGCGAGTGCAGCCACATGTTAAAATTTATACAGCCATTAATATGAAATTCCGTTGTTACATGAACTTGTTTCCAGTGGGAGCTGAGCTCCCGCAGGCCTGGTCTTTGTCACCAGTTCTAACTTTTATGGACAGAATTTCCAGGCTTGTGAATGATGTGCTCCCTCTGGGTTATGTGAGCAGTGACCTTAACGTCACACTGGGGTGGTTCATAGTTGATATAGTTTGATACAGTGGGGACGAGAATTAGCACCCAAATCTGAGGCCACAGCTTTAAGTTGCTGCTCCAAAACGAGGAGTTGAATTAAACCTTTGATTTTACTTATTGATCGATGTTACTATTTTTACTGATGGAAACAAGGTGATATGTTTCTGCCATGTCCAAATGGAAAGAGACATCAGGGCAGACCAGGATGTGCTGGAGAGATGATGTCTCTGTGGCGGCTTCGTAACTTGTTTGTGTCTTTGCTGGGAGAACTGGAGTTAGTGGCATCTCTGCTTAGAGCAATGACCTCCAGTATGCTGGTGACTCGGCGAAGTGTTGGCAGCTCGTAGCAAAGCTGACTTTTAGTGTTTTCGCCAGTTGATTGTAGCAGATTTGGGAAAATAACCGAGGAAGCATGAGAATCATCTCTTTGTTCTCTTGTTCTTACTCTGACATCCCCGATTACAGAGTGAAATATAATGACTGACCAGCTTCTCTGTGACTGACCTTTCAGTGAACCATATCCAGAGCAGACGCTGGTGTTTCCTGTTAACTGGAGTTTCTGATTAACTGGTCAACCAGTGTGTGAGACAGATGTGTCGTAGGTGTGATTTATTGATGTTTTCAGCATGTCCCACAGACACCTTACTTGGCACTGGAACCAAAGCCTTAAACTCAGACTGCGTCCACACCAGCCCGGATAGATTTGAAAACGGCGTTTTTGTCTGAAAACGCTCCGCATCCACACTATCGTTTTCATTCGTTTTCACCGAGTTGTGCGTCCACATTGAAACAGCCGAAAACACTTACGTTCCAGTCCTGCGCAAGAAGATTCGACCTGCCTCATTTCTGTCTGCCGCTTATTTACTTTCCGGCTCTTTGAAACGTCGCGGCAAAATGTTGAGGAAAAGCACCGAGTTTGTTAAATGCACTAACAATGAGGCGGAGTTGTTGCTGCGAGTAACACAAAAGTACAAAGGTCCAAAAGCGAGTGAGAATTAAAGAATTTGAAGAAAAGTTCTCAGGAGCATGTGCAGGCTGATGTTAATCTTTAATAGGGCTGTCAAACAAAACAGCTGCTGTTTAATGCCCTCCGCTATCTTTGCTTATTTGGTCACATGACTGCATCACATGACTAAAATGCGTCATTGCTTTCGAAAGTCTGCGTTTTTGAGTGTCCACACTGCGACGGGACAGCTCCGTCTTCAAATGTATGTGTTTTCAAGAGTGTTTTCAAAACACTTCGGGAAAACGGCGTCTCAGTGTGGACGGGAAAACGATGCATTTTCAAACGAAAGCGCATTAGTGTGGACGTAGCCTCAGACAGATATCACCAATTAAATCAACACCAGCTGTGTTGCATGTGTGCAGATACACAATACAACCCTTCTGCTGACGGTGCCTTCAACAGGTGTGAGAGTACGGTGATGCGCAGATTTACCCTACAGACATAAAATAGTGTTTCACATAGTTTTTAACTACCAGCACACAGGACATGACTGTACCATCTGCCATTACTTTGCCATCACCATGCTGATGCTTTGTAACTTCATACATTACTCTGTACAGTAATGTTAACTTACCCACATGAGATACTCTGGAAGAGAAAGAAAATCACTGTGCAGGGCCCAGAAATCGAAGACATAACAAAAGTGTAAAAGCAAAGCTCTCTGACTTGTGACTCACACGGTCCCATGCCAAATGCATCCTGCAGGCGTAGTCACCGGAAAGACATTCTCACCGGCCAACCACACGGCACCATTTTGCATTTAGCCACGTAGCCATAGTGGAGGAGACCTGCTGAAGTTGAAAACGAGCATCAAGATGAGTTAAGTAACTTTGCACACTGGATGGTTGTTGGTGCCAGACAGGCTGGTCTATCAGAAACATCTCATCTACTGGGATTTTTGCAGCACAGCTTTCTCGGGGTTTGAGAGCATGAACTAAAATAATGAGCCAAAAAAGGCAACAGTCACTCAATAACTGTTTATTACAACCGAGGCATTCGAAAGAGCATCTTTGAACACACAACATGTCAAACCTTGATGCCTACAGCGGTCGGACACGCAATGAGGCGATACTCTTGTCAGCCAACACTAAGAAACTGAGGCTTCAATTTGCTCAAGCTCAAAATTTCACAATAGAAGATTGAAAAAATGTTGCTTCTTAGTACATTTCCAAGTTAACCTGGCAGACTTCATTACCTTCAGATGTTTAATTAGCATTAGGACTTGCATGTGTGCTCTGCAAGTGTGTCTGACTCTATTAACTGGGGTTGTATTATAAAGAACATAAAACACTTTCGCCACAAGCGCACGACAACACACTCAAGTACACTGATGTACTGAACCTCTGACTTTAACATCGGTTTGTCTTCTCTCGTCGCAGGTGTCCATCTATGAACCTGTGAGGTCATAGCCATCTAACAGCAGCATCAGCACCAGAGGAGAGTTTACCAGCAGTGGGACCATGGACCTTAGATTTAGACGTCTGTCGCCTCTCACCAGGGCAGCTCTTCATCTCCTGCTGCTGGCCAGACTGGTGCTTCCTTCTCACACAGAGAGTGAGTCCACATAGCTCATAGCTGTGCCTACATGTTCACAGTTTTACTGTCAGCTAATATCCATTAGCTGACAGGAAGTGTGCACAGACAGCTTTCAAATGGAAATGTGTTATGTGACTGACATACAGCATCACTGCTCAGTTGAAAAAGCCCTTTGAAAAGCTTTGATATAACAGCTTTGATACATGATTTCATATTTCACATTATGAAAGCGTCACACAGAAAGCTGACACCCTGTACCTTTTCCTGCGTTTGAAGGGCATTTTTAAAGTAGGACTATTCTGTTATTTTTTAGCTCCGTATACAATAAACTTCATGGGGCCCAGTTGTTACTGATGTCCACCTGTTTAAACCAGCTTTCTCCTGATCCACTGCCTGTGGTAAACAGAAGATTTGAACAGGAGGTGGATGGGCCTCCTTTGTCTGCGATGCCCATGTCAGGGATTTCCTCTTTATATTAAACCATAAAGTCAAGAGTATAAAAAACTATTTAAAAAAAGCATTAGAGCAGTGAAGCCTGTGATTTTGAGTTGGAGGGATTGTTTGTACATACGCTGACTTCAATGTTTAATATGAGCATGTAATAGTTTATATATAACAGAAAATAAGGAAAAAGGTTTTATTAACTCTTAAATGTGGGAATTTCCTTAAACATGCATTTTGTTTAATAGCAGGAAGGATTGCAAAAACAAATCTGGTTGCATACCAGAATTGTTTTGGCCGCTGTCAGCATGTAATAAATTTATAATAAGTAAAACTAAAAGTCCTTATTTGCAGCGAGAGTTGAAAAACAACATTTCATTTCCAAGTACCATTAAAATGAACTTTAATGGTGGTCAGAAAGTGCAAAATAGAGCAGTGATGTTGGCAGAGGACGCAATTTAAAAGAAAGAGTGAATGACTTCTTCCCATGCCCAATCTCCATCTCCACTTTCTGGGTTTTTTGCGTATTCTAGCTAAAGTAAAATAAAAAATAGAAAAACAAACTGCAAGCATCACTCTGGCATCCATGTAACAAAAATCCAGCCCTACAACCTGACCTCACTCTTGAGTTTGCCTTGCGGTTTCATGCAGCATGACGTTCTCTTTTCAGCTGCCTTTAACAAACACCATTCCTCACAGGACTATTGTGTGTTGAATGTCAACCAGCTCGACTCTACCTGAGGCCAAATCAAAGGAAAACAAAAGGAAAGGAAAGAAAGTGAGAAAGGGATCGAGAGATTGTGTGAGAGGAAAGGCCTGGGCCCTTTCTGTCTCTCTTAGACTGGTGAACTTATTCACACCTTATAAAACTTTTACAAACATCTGTTTTGCTTGGCTGGTGCATTTACTATCAAAGGCCTGCATAAAAGTATCCAGTAGTGATAAAGTTTGACATTTGTTACAGCATCAACAGAACTCTAACCTTTTTCTTAATGATCCTATTTGTGAATAATAAATGTGTCTTGAGAAATCCATTTTTATTCATATAGCTCAAAGTCAGATCAATACTCATTTGAAGGCACTTTTTCTGAGGTAAAACCTGGATTACCACAGATATAAACCCAAACAATCTAAAGACACCCAATGAGCAAAAATATAGAAAGACGTGCTAGGGCTGTTCGATATAACGATATATATCTGATGTCGATATAAAAACGTCTATCGTTTCATTTTACGCTATCGTTTGTTTCGTGGTGTCGCAAAATAAACTGTTTTTGTTTATAAACCTGTTTATTTTCTCATTGTTCTGATGGTCACTGTAGTGGCTGTATTCAAGTTCTCTCTTTCTCTTATATTTTATATAACCACACTATGGACGAACAAGCGCCTGTTTTTATGTGTTGTCTTTAGCAACAACGACGGTAACAGCATCGCGTGTCCGCTTGTTTATGTTCCACATAAAACTTTCACAATAAAGCTCAAGATCCTGTTGAGACTTTTCAAAATAAACTGAATCACGTGAAAGAGCAGATTATTTACGGATGAGAAGTAAAAAAGAGCCGCCAGGTGCTAAAAAATAAACCTTAGACTCAAACGTTAGAACAGGCTTTTCCCCGCAGCACGCCGTGTAATAAATACAAAGAAAACGGCGCCGTTACAACTTATGTCTAAAATGTATCGTTTCATGCATCTGTTAAAACACTCGACTCCAGCTACACGACGCACAGCTGGAAACACTTCACACAAGTCGAGCTGCCCGAGATTCACAGACTTTACAGAAAATGTTACATTTTTGTGATTTACATCGTTATCGGACGATAGATGTCTGATATCGGGATATGAGATTTTGGTCGTATCGCACAGCCCTACGTTGTGCATTTAAAGGCAATAATCATATTTGATTTGATATACCTTTATTAGTCCCACAAGGGGAAATTTCATAAGGCTGCTGACCTATTGCACGCAATGGCGGCGCCATCTTACCCTCTGACCATACATACATGACACAAACATCACATGGGGAAGACAGGTCAGAGAGGGATAACAATGGAAAATGCACCACATGAGGAAAGATAAGGAGAAAAAAATAACTCCCCCCAGACTGAGCTCCAACAGGGAGATCAGTTTGAGAACAGAAAAAACACCTCTGCACATGAAAAACTCTTAATACACCAAAGAAACACATGACAAGCAGCAGGGGGGAAAGGTGAGAGACAGCCGATGTAGACAGCACATCCGGGCCTGCGTGCGCTGGTCTCCTTGATCCACCGTCAGCATCGGAAGGGAATAAGCGTCGAAGGCGTTTGGAAAGGGAGGGGGGATGAGTGTGTGCATATCAGTGTATATGTGTGTGTGTGTGTCCAGAGTTCAGCTGAGACAGTGTCCTTCGCCCTGCCAGGCTAAGTAAACAGTCTTCCAGCCAACCCAGGTGGCCTTGCATGGAATGGGAAGGAACAGACTAAACTCAGTCGCTATCAATATAATCTGACAAGTATCCTGTAAAAAGAGCTTTACGTAAAAGCACTTATAAAAACGTATAATTATTCTGATCACAGCTAAGGAAGCGTGCTCGTAGAGATCATGGTTAAGACAGACATAAAAGCTTGTGCTGTAGAAGCACAAGCTCAAAACTCTACCTCATGTTTCAACTGAAAAGGCGACGTTATGATTTTGTGGTTGACCAAAGCAGCAACTCCAAACGAGCCATTAAAAAACAACAACTATGGGAGGAACTGAGATGGTTGCTGCTTGGGTTAGCTGACATACGTTTCACTTGATGAAGTTAGATTTGAGATTAGAAGACTAAAGGTTGTAGGCATTTAAAAAGATGTTGCTCTGAATTTAGCCAGAACATGTCTTAGCCTCACAAACGACTCCGGACTTTTTCATGGCCACTTAGATGTATCTACCCCAGAAAAACTCTCTTTTTGTCTCCCACTAAAACATCCCTAAACAAGGTCCTCCAGTAAAAAGCGGTCTTTAGTCTACACCTATATTTAGCCCCAGGTACTTTCTGCAGTATATTTGTCCCACTCTGCACTAATGTCTAGGAAGAACATAAAAGGTCAACATTAAAAGCATTTCATTTGCAGAGGGGTCATAGTGGGGTTTGGAGACTAAAAAATGTTCTGCATGCACGGAGCAGACTCCACTTAATTTGATAATGGTTATGTTGTTCTTCCTTTAGAATCCTATTGAACCCAGTCATACATGTGTAATCAGCACAGCATTAGATCTGAGAAGGACAAAGGATGTAGAGGTGAAAGGTTAAGTAGGAACATTTGGAATTCTGTATTAGTCCAGTCATAAAGGGAAATGAGGCAGCTACAGTAACAGCATCAGAAAAATTACTAAACATCACTGCACAATATGCTGTACGAACTATGGCTTTGGAGATCTTCATCGATCTATTTGTAAATCTAAAGAGTTTCATGGTATGTTTTTGGATGCTTGGGGACAATAAGCAACATTGTACAGTGTTTCCCACAAGCAGGGGGTGCAAAGGAGGTGATGCTTCCACACATAAATGACTATAATGCCATATCATGTCACCTCACCAAATGAAACAGAATTATTCCAGTCACATGACACTGCTGTCACGAACCCTCTTCTGAAAGTATACAACATTTTTACACGTGCCAATTTACAGTCACTGTATTACAGAGTCAAGCGTGTGAGGCCAGCCAGGCCGTAAAGTTGAGCTCAGTAATAGTCTTTTCAGATCTGCAGATCTCTGTGCATCAAACTCGCAAATCTTATAATCAAAGCTGCTCTAACAAGTCACTTTCTCTGTATATTTCTGTGAAACAACCAGCGCATTTACTCACAGCTCTTACAGCAGCACAAAGACCCTGTTCATGTATGTCAGGAGACATGGTCTACATTTAGGCCAGGCAGGGGCAGGCTGATGCTTCGGAGGTCACCGAGGCAGAGGAGGAGCTCCGTGGAGGGCAGTGTTTCTCGACAACAGGTTCATTATCAAGGCTATTTGCTTTATGGCTGCAATGAGCACATTTTATAATTTTCCTTTATAATTTGCAGATAGGAATTCATCAGCGAGCTGTGTCAGTAATTACCTTCCAGTGTGAGCACTCCGGAGAAAATGAGAATCATTAATTGCTCACAAAGAATTGAGATTTTCACAGATTTTTAATGAAACCATATTAAAACCATTTAAACCTGATTCATGGAGTTTGTGTCAGAAATGGAAACCCTTTAATTCCCCCAAATTACCACTGAAATACACAAAAGTCATTTTACATGCTGCTGGAATCAACCGGCGCTCTCGATGAAGGAACTCACGATCTTGCCAGCTAACAAATTTACAGTATTTTATTTCACATCAAAATTAATGTGATATGTTTATTTTAGGGTTCAGTTGTAGGCCACAGTCGAATGAGTGGCACGGGTGTCGTTACGGTGATTGATGGAGCATCAGTCAAAGCTTTATGAGGAAAGTTACAGGGTAAAAACAAAAAGCACCATGGCCTCTTCATTCCATACTGTGTGCACTTCTGTGTATCATCAGGATGGTTTTAATAGCCATTCTTCTGCAATGTCCTATTTTAAACCTTGAC